ACGCTGGCATTTTTCCACGTTTCTGAACTGGGCATAAAGCTGACAATTCTGGTTTCAGGAGTCCCACCAGGCACCAGCCTGAGAGTCTGGTATGACACCTGGCCACTGGGCAGGTATGGTGGCGGCAGGGGTGGCAGCCCACAGTCCCACATACACCACCCAGTGCAGGGCGGGAGCTGACCTGCAGACATCTCTGTAGCCCGATCGCCACACCCCGTGGGCTGTCCCACCCCCACCACCCTCCTGCCTGTTCCTCCCGGCAGCACGTGCCCCCCAGCCCATCTCTACCCCACTGTTCTCTTCATGGTCCGGGGCTGGCAGCGCTGCCCCGACACTGCTGTTTCCTGTTTCTCACTTTCCTCCTTCCAGACCCGAGGCAGGGCTGCCCTTCTGCCCCTTGGGAATGGCACAGTCCTGTGACTGACTTTGGGACATGTGTCCCCGCCAGGTAGGAATGTGGAGAGCCAGCTCTCGACCTGCCTCTGCACCTTCCCTGGGTGCCATGACTATGAGCTCGTGTGGCCAGGCAGAGCCCCAGTGGCCTGGACCCCGTGTGACCGAGATGTGCAGAGCCCCCAGCTGACACGGCCTGCAGGAGCCGGGCCTGGAGGTTTCCAGGCACTTCGCGGGGCTTTTGTGGCTACACATCACCTCCTGAGTGACAGCACATTGCTTGCCACAGCGGTCAGGCCCACAGCAAGCTTTCACGCCCCAGGCTGCTTGCAACCCTCAGGCCACTGAGCAATGGGTTCTGAGGGTCTGGTCTCCCAGGCCTCCCAGCTTTCCCCTCTGCTGCTCAGGGGCTCCCCACACGTGTCAGGGGGCAGCCCTGACCGAGGCATGTGGTCAATGAGCCTCACCGAGGCACGTGGTCAAGTGACGCTGCCTCTCTGTGCCTCAGTTTCAAAATCTGTAAAATGGGCACGATAAGAGCAAGGCCCACCTCCTGAAGGTACTGCAGTAAGTGTAAAGTGTGCAAAGTGTGTAACAGGCCTGGCCGGTGTGAGGCCTACATCCACGTTGCGGTGACCAAGCCTTGCTGAATCAAAGGCAAGTTCACGTTCCCTATGCTCAGGGAGCTTTGAGGGTTCAAAGGTAACAACATGGAGAAAACTCACTGCTTTCATTCTTTCCCTTTTAAAACATAAAAACAAAAACAGGAAGAGCCACCACTCAGTATGCCTCCTATACACCCAGAACGTCACACACGTGAAAATGACCGGAGTCTCTCCGGGGTGGAAACTGATTTTTCTGATGGGAAAACAAGGCTGGGTCACTCGTTCCAAGTCACCTCCTACAGGGAGGTTGCCTACAGTCAGCCACACAACTGACCTGAATTCGCACCTTTGGAGCACCCGCAGGGCACCGGGGACACCGCTCTGTCCCTGCTCAGCCCCAGGAGCCACCAAACTCTCCCAGGACATACATTCTCTGCTAAAACCATCCCAGGAAGGCACGTGCGGCTGAGCCTCCCAGGCCCTAGGGAGGGGCGGCCCCCACGCTGGCTGGGAGGGCACATTCCTCAGGACATTCCGAATCACCGGCCGAGGACAGCAGCAGACACAGCAGGCCTCCCCCGGGGCTGGTGTCCATGACACTGACCCGGCGCTGGTCTGCACCATCCCAGGATCACCGGCTCACAGTAACGTGTCTGCGTTTTACCCAGGCCTGGCCGAGAAGTCTGTTTCTTTTAGGCTTCTGTCTACACGCCAAGCAGAACGCACTCCAGCGGGCAGCCAGTGTAGGCGGCCTACGGTCCTGCAGTCCTTTTATTCTAAACGTGATTTCTTTACCTGGGGGGCATCTGACGTGGGTTGACATGCCCACATCGTCACTGTGCCCGGTCTCCCACCAAACAAATGTCCCCAAGACCCCACAGCCCCCAAACACAGAGGCCCCAGCCTGCACTGTCTCAGCCTCCGGCTTTCATAGAGGCCTTCCTCCTCCCTAATGGGGCCAGACTGCCCAGGCCTGACGGTCCCTGACCACGTCCTCTGAGACAGTGTCCTGGCCCTGGCCAGCAGCATTCCCTGGCTGGCGGCGGCTGTCCCAAGAGAGGGCAAAGTCTGCTCCACTGCCAGAAGGCGCCCAAACGGGAACCTGTCAGGCGAGCCAGAGCCAGAGCCATTGCTGGGTGTGACCTCCGCTCCCAGTGAGGCAGCCACACCCACAGGTCTAACAGAGAGCCCTAGAGGTGTGGGCAGGGGCGCTGGAACCCAGAGCTGTGGCACTGGCAGGCACCTGCACCCGTTGCCTTCTGTTTTTTAGTTTTTCTAAAGAACTGTGAAGACACAGACACCGTTTCAAAAGTCAACGAGCACCAAAGACTTAGCATGAAAGCCCAGCGTCCCCTCCTCCACGCTGCCTGGATTCCCCAGAGGCCACCGCTCTGGGCTCCTCAGCTTTTCCCAGAAAAAGGCACAGCCTGCTCTCAGTGACCCCCGCCTATGGGCATCCCTACCTGCTCCTTGCCTCTTGGACGAGGACTCCATCACAGCCGGCCCCATCACACGATGTCTGTGCCGGCACAAGGTGCTAAGCCCCGGGGCAGAGTAAGGCCTTGCCCACCTCTTGTTAATCATGATTTTCTCTCATTCCACCGGCCTGGTTTTCCCCAGTTAAATTTTCCCTGAGTGTTCCGGCGTCTCTGCCATGTGCTTCTTGAGAATATATTCTATACGCTTGGCAGGCCAGCTCTGTGTTTTTCCCAGACACCCCCTATCCTGCCTCTCCAGAGGGCCTGGTGCTCTGGGCCTCACCCTGGGCGGATCCCAGGACCTCCTCTGCCGCTTCTGGGGCGGGAGGCTTGGCCCCCAGTCCCCTCTCACCCACTCCGGGCCCTCACTGTGCTGAAGCACATCCCCAGGCACTGAACCCGGAAGTCACACGGGAGGCATCTTTTGGACGCCTGAAAATGTCTTGTTTCTTCCTCTCCCCTGACTGGTGGCGAGGAGACGAGTGTTCCCCCTGTAGATGGTTTTCTCCCAGAGTTGGGAAGGGCCCTTCCCTCATCTTCAGAGTTGCTGGGGAAGGGCCCCAATGCCCCGATCTCCTCCTCGTATCATGACCGGTGTGTGGTTCTCCCTGGCCCCACTGAGGGTCTGGGGCACCTGCTGGAGGCTGGGAGCTCTGGCTGTCGTGCTGATGTGCCTCCGTAGGGTCCACGTTCATTCACTGAGCCAGGCACTGGGTGGAACCCCCCATGCGGTCACTCTTGTCTTCAGGGCTGCATGGATTTTCATATTATTCCATTCTGTTTTCTCTTTTTGGAATACCCACTAATGAGTATTAAGCTCTGGCATTTTCTCCTAATTCCTTCCCTTCCCTCCCCTACTTTGTTCTCTGTGTGAGGTTTTCTCTACTTGATCTTCTTATCTGCCCCATTTTCATTTTCATTATCGTCAAAGAGCCCTCTGCTCTTCATTCCTGGCATCCTGCTCTTGTTTTATGGGTGTAACATCTTCTATTATCTTAGAGAGGAAGGATTACGTTTTCTTTGGAGGGAGTTTCTTTCTTTCTGTCATGGGCTGCTGGAGCTGTGCCCCCACCACACACTTCCTCCCGTCTCCGCCTCTGCTGGCCTCTGTCTCTCAGGCACAGGGCTTTCCTCAAACATCTGCTGTTGGTGGTTGATTGCTTCTGCTTCTATTGAGGAGAGAGGCCTTATGCTGGTGGGAGGCCCAGGTGCACACACCCTGAGCACAGGTGTCTCACCGGGAGGGCCCTCTGGGACCCCCAGCCCCACGCCAGGTCCGTATCCTGAAGTCTCTCCTGAATGCCCGCTGGTTTCTGCAGTGGTCTCTCTCCATCTCCTCACTGAGATGCTGGTCTGCTCCTGGTGCCTGGAGCCAGTGAAGGGGAGGGGCTGAGAGCTCAGACTCCTTTCAGAGGCTGGCCACGCTGTCCGGGCTACAGTGCCACAGAGGTCGGTCAGATTCCCTGCAGCAGCCTCGTGGGCCAGTGGCAGACCTGCTCCCCGGTAAAGGCAGCCCTGACTTGCTGAGTGGGGGCTGCCAAGAAAGCTCCTTCAAGCACGCACAGGGCAGAGGGAGCCGCAGGCTGTCTGTCTGTCTTTCCTGTCTCCCCATGTGTGTGAGCCCTTGCAGGGCAGGGACAGTTTCCTGTTCATGTCCCCACAAACAGTCGGGCTCAGTTCCAGCACCAAAAAGCAAATGCGTGCCTCGGCACGTGCTCTGCCCTGGTCTCTTTACCTTGATTCTGTGTCTTCCCAGAGAGGCCCTGCTGTTCGGTGCCAAGAACCAGCTTGCAAGGGGACTTTGCTCAAAGTGAGCAGAGGCTGGGCCAGGGCAGCCCACACAGGTTCCAGGCCCGTCTGTGCCACTTTTTGGGCGACTTCCTGCTGCTTCTGCTCAGGGTGGGCTGGAAAGGACCTCCCATGGCTGAGCCCTGGGACCCAGAGCTGTCTTTTTTCCCTTTACCACTAAATACCCCACCCTGGTATCCCTGACGCATATAGTTACAGGGCGAGGGACCTGTGCAGGAAGAGGCGTGTAGCAGAGGTGAGCAGGTGGAATCCGTGGTCTCTGGCCAGTCTCAGGGGCCCCTGCCCAGCCTGTCCGTTCCTGTCTGCACTTGGCCTTGGCTGATCTGCTGGATCTCAGACCCAGCCTTGGTCAGGTGGGCCGCTCTGCAGTCCCGCCCTCCTGCCCCCTCATCCTTCCGGAGAGATGGGCTTCTAGTGACTCTAGTGGGTGCCAGCCCCATCCCTCCTACATCCCCACAGCAGTACAGTCTCCCAGCTGAGGCCTGGGGCTCTGAGCACAGCTGCTTTCATGGCCATCAGGACCTAATTGCCCCAAGTTTGCTGCCCCTCCAGTTAGGACGCTGCACGGGCCTCCAGCTTCATGTGGTCCCACCTTCGGGCATTTCTGTCCCTCCTACCCTGGCCTCTAGGTCTGGCTAACCCCACTTGGCCCAGTGCGGCGTGGCCTCTCTAGCACCTGTCCATCCAACCTCAGTGCATGCAAACTCAAGCCACAATGATGCCCTTGTACTCCGGTAATTCTGCCCAGCCAAACTTGACTCAGTCACATAATCTGGGGGGAGGACTTGGTTTTGTAAATCATGCAGCACACATCAGCCAGCTCCGTTTGCAAGGTGGCCAGAGGTTCAGCTCTGCGGCCTGCACTGGGGCAGTTTTGTCCCCCAGGGCACATTTGGCAACGTCTGGAGACACTGCTGGTAGTCAGGAGTCCTGGCTACCAGTCGGCAAGGCTGCTGGAGAGACCTGTTATCTGGATCAAGGCTCCTGGGCAGCTAAGCAGAGAGCCACCCTGCATGTGGGGGCGGGGAAGTGCATCTGGCCCTCCCACCTGGACGTAGCCAGCTCAGCCCAAAGCGCATTCCAGTCACTCCCCAGCTCCGGCTCTGAATGAGACGTACCATAAACCCAGGCACTGTCCCTGGCTCTGTTGCCACTCACGGAGTTCCCCCAAAGGGTGGGAATCACAGCCTGCCTCTGACAGGTGCCTACGCGGGGGATAGGTCCCCTGCCACCCAACCAGGTGCAGAGGGAACGTGGCCTGCCTGGGTGGGACTGCTGGCCAGGCCCTGTCCTGACCTGGATGGCTGTCCCCAAACGGGGACGGGGGGGCAGTGGGGGTTCTGGCCTCGGCCAGGGAGTCACTAGAAATAAGGACACTGCTCCAGACAGACGGTCCCCTGCACTAAGGACAGGAGCAGCCCAGATCCATCCGGAAACCAAAACTAAAACTCAGACCCAAACTCGCCGGGAGCGCCTGCACCTGGATCACAACGTGAACACAGATGGCCATCCTCAGGATGGGGACCCGCACTCCACATGTGAGCTGTGGGGACCCCGGCACGCCGCTTCTCACTGCTTCACTTCTGTGCCTCGGTTTCCTCATGTGTAGGTGGAAAGTGCTTCCCACATAGGGTGGTCCTATGGGTCAGAGACGGCCCCTGGAGAGCCAGCGCCCTCAGGGAGGCACCCCCAGCAAGGGTTTCTCCCCAGTGTCCAGGTTGGGGGAGTGGCAAGTGGGGAGGGCCCATGCCACCCTCCAGGTGACTTTGGTACAGGTGACTTACTTCTTCCAGGAAGCCCCCAAGACACCTCCCTTCCAGCAGGACTGGGTGGGTGGGGAGTGCCCACCTTCAGCCCACAGCTCCTGCTCTGGACAGTACCTTTCATCCTGTTCCCCTCTGCTAGCCGTGGGCATCGCACAGCAGGGACCACGTCTGCCTGGCACACTTGCGGGTCAACATCTTCTAACTCCTCAACACTCCTACTAGTCCCATTTTACAGATGAGAAGACTGAGGACCCGAGAGCTGCTTAGTTCACAAAGAGCCAGGATGTGATGGGCACACCTGGGAACTATGCCATGGAGGTGTCAGGGCCCGCAGCCACGCACAGCACCTGGACCCTGTTGCTGGTCCAAGCCAGGCCCACACACACCCCCTAGGCCCCCATGTTAGGTGGTGCACGTCTAGACTGTTCCCCTCAGAGACACAGGGAAGATTCAGGCCTCGATTCAGGTTAGATGCAGAGGCCACCAAGACCTGCCATCACTGCCACTCCCTCGGTCCCCCCATTTACTCAAATCTCAAAAGGGAGCCTGTTCCCATTTCACAGACGCAGAAAGAGGCTGAGCAGGCAAGACAAGCCGCCACGGCTCCCTGGTAGGTGGGACGCCCCCCTCCCCCTCCCTGCCTCCCTTCTCAGGGGAGACAAAGCAGGTCCCTCCCTGCCGCCGCCCACCAAGTCCACGGGGTGGGGGAGGGGCGTGTGGTCTGGGTTTGTCTTGGGTGTTGGGTTCTTCCTTCTTGGAGCTTTTCTGAACTTTTGGGACCAAAGCAGGTTTGGGCGTCAGATTCCCCAAAGAGCTCCCGGGAGGGTCGTTCTGTTCTGCCCCCCACCCCATGCTCTTTCAAACTCTCTGGGGCTTCCAGCGTCCTCCGCGCTCAAATCGGAACCCAGGTTCCGGTTGCATGGGAGTTTTCCTTTAGGAAGAGGAAGCGGCCACTGGGGGTCGAGAGAGGGCAGCGAGCGAGCGTGCAGGGGCAAGCAGGGGGCTGCCTGGGGGCGGCTTAGCCCGCGAACCCCGCCCCTCCCGCCCCGGCGGAGGCACGGGAGGGTCGCGAAGTTGTTGCGGCTCCCGGGGCGGGGCTTGCAGGAAAAGCGAGGGGAGGAGAGGCGCCCCGGGTTCCCGGCGCCTCCCCCAGGCTTACCCACCTCCCTCGGCTCCCCCGAGCCCCGGCTCACCTGTCTCCCGGCTCACCTGTCCCCCAGGCTCTCACCTGCGCCGCAGGGCGGAGGGACGGAGGGGCGGCGCGCGGACGGTGCAGCTTCCAGCGCCGGATCCCCTCCTATCCTGCAGCCGCCTCGCTCCTGCGGCCGCGCGATCCGGCCCGGGGCGCCTCCTGCACTTCCTGCGCTGTCTGGCGGGAGGGCGGCGGCTGCGGCCCCGCAGGTGGGCGCTGCGCGGGCGGGGCGGCTCCGGGTCCGAGGGCTCGGGCGGGGAGGGTCGGGGAGGGGGCGGGGCGCGTCCCGGGCACCTGTGGCGGCGCCGCCTGCGTCACAGGTCACAGCCCCACCTGGGCCGGCTGGAGCCCACGTGATCGCCCGGACTGGATCGCGCCTCTCGATTCCCTCCGAGCCGCCGCCGCCCGGTGCCTGCGCCTTCCCTCCCCGCGCCCACGCCCCCTCGAGGCCGGCCCGGGCGTCGCCTGCCAGACGTGGGGCCGGAGCGGCTCGGCTCCCTCCTGCGTCACTGTCCTTCCAGGCCCCGCTCCACCGCCTCCTCCAGGAAGCCTTCGGGGAAGGAGACTAGCCTTGCGGGGACCGATGTTGGCTGTAGAAAGGCCCGGCCCTGGCCCTCTGGATTCTTGGAAGTCAAGCGGCCAAAGACAGCCAAGAGGGCGCAAAGCACTCTGGCCACCTTCTTGGTGTGGTTGAGTGGCGGTCATCCCCATTTCACAGAGAAGGACCGAGTCCTGGAAAGGAAGGCGCTCGCCAGGGTGCACACGGCTGAGCCTTGACTCCCAGCCTGGCCTTTCCTTGCTCCGCCTGCTGGGAACGAGTGTGAAGGTGAGGGAGGGCCCCCCAGCTGGGGGTTCAGGAATCAGGCTCCCTGGTGCTGTGGGAGGGGCTGGGGGCTGGGCCAAGCCTCCCAAGCTTGGGCCTGGCCATTCAGGAATGTGACCTGAGGTCCCAGGGCTCAGACCCACTTCTGACCTGCCTTCCTCATCCCCTTTTCAGGAGAGGCCTGTTGCCAAAGGCTTCCGTGTGAACATCCACACTGGGCTTTGGATCAGCTTCTACTGGCGTCCCCTCACTGACCCCAGGCCTCGGAGCGTGGGCCGGGCACCTGTGTGCCAGCCAGAGGCACTGACCGTCTTCCCTCCCAGGACCTGCCTCCCTGGGCCGGGCAGCCCTGAGATCCCGTTGCAGGGTGAGGAGACACCGCAGGCTCTGGGGCTGTAACTTGGCATTTTCTCAGGTGTCATGGTTAGAGGGACTGCCTGCCCTTCTCCTTCTGCACTGGTCGCCCCACCCACTAGTCCCCCAGTGTCTGCCCTGCGGCAGGGGCTGCCTGGGTGTCAGGTGCCACCTGGGCAGGGCACAAGCTGGCCTCAGGGATGGGTCCCATGGGCCATCCGTCCTCTAGGGGGAGGGATGAGGGAGGAGCTAAGAGCTGACCCCTGTGGGCGGCAGCCTCCACCTGGAGCCGTCTGCGGGGAGGTTCCACTTCCAGGCAGCTCCTGGAAAAGGCAGGTGGCTGCTGCCCTCCAGAGTCCATGATGGGTACTGCACCTACAAGGCCCAGCTTGCCGGAGGGAGCTGGGGTGACCCGGAGCCTTGATCCTTGAGGGGACTGAGGTGCGGTGGGGTCACTGAGGCCCCGTGGGGGGATGGAAGCCTTGCATCAGGCCACTCAGTGGGACCCAGGTTCCCGATTCCCACTGAGTGCTTTCCTGTAAAACCCTCTTTCAGAAGCTGCCTCCGAGTTACCCCCAACCCCACACCTTCTGTCCAGGCCCTGCTCGGCCCGTCCAGCCACCTTGGGTCTGGCTCTGTCTCTCCATGTCCTGCTGGCTCCTGAAGGCCATTCAGCATGTGCTTAGGACAGTCCCTTTGCTGGGGATGTCACCTGAGCTGGTGGCAGGACCTCTCTGTGCCTCTGTCACCTCCGCTGTAAATGAGGGCCTGATGATGACCCAGGAGATCGCCCTGGCACGAGGCCCAAGGGAGAGGTTGGAAGGAACCAGCCTGGAGACTTAAGGGGCTGGCAAGGAGAAAGAGACTTCGGGGAGGCCTGCCAGCGGGGTAGGCCGTGGCACTCTCTGCACCTCTGTGGTGGGATCCAGAGCCTGTGGCTCAGCCATGTGTGTTGCCTGCCCTGGGGGCCTTCCCCTCTCACATAACCAGCAGGGGAGAAGATGTGGATCCCCCAAGCTTAACAGCCACTGGGCATTGCTACAGGGTGGGCAGCGCTCTGGCCGGGCACCGGTGTGCCAGCCAGAGAGCACACCTCTGTCTGCAGGAGCAGAGCTCCTTCCCTGTGGCTTGAGGTGGCCTGAGCTCCTGCAGGCCTTGCTTTGAGTTTTCCAAGCTTTTGCTCAGCCACTGGGGCCACAGCACAGACAGCCCGTGGCCTTAGGTGGTGCCTGAGGCCAGCAGCCCCATGGGAGGCCTTTTGGCTTGACCTTCCAGGGTAGGTGCCCAGGGCTGAGGGTGAGCTGAGGCTGCTGGGCAGGTTTGTCCTCCCTGCTGGGCCGAGTGGGCAGTGCTCCCACCTGCTCCTCTCCCTCTCTGGGGCCCTGAGGAGCACACGGGGTGGAGGGAAGGTCATGACAGCCCTTAGTTCTCAGGCCCTCAATGCTGGGCTGCCCTGTTACCCACTGCAGTTCCATGGGTGTCCTGTGCAGCCCATAGGCAGCTGGGAAGGCGCCCCAAGGGTGTGGCTGTGAGTGGGATGGAGGACAAAGATGCCTCTGTGCTGGGTGGGTGGAGGCCCATGGCTGGGGGCGCCGGGCTGGTGGGAAGAAGGTTGGGTTTGAGGAGCAAATGCCCCTCCTCCTTGTACCCTAAAATAGCAGGTGGTCATTACTTCCCATTAAGCACCTAGTATGTGCCAGCGTCATGCTGAGGGCCTTGCATGTGTCATCTTAGTGAATTCTTACAGAAACCCCCTCAGATGTCGTTGTTGTCCCCACTTAACTGAGAGGAGAAATGTTTTGCCGCTTGTTACCTGGCTGGTAAGTGACCCAGCCGAAGTGAGAGTCCAGGTCTGTCTGATGCCAAAGCCCAGGATCCCTGGTCATCATTAGGGACCATTCCTGGTTTACAAAGACATGACTATAGTCTTTATATTTTTATATAAAAATATATAAAAGCAACCCCATGTATCTTGCCCAAGTTGAGAATTTAAAACATGTCACGTGTTTTGGCCATGACAAAGTCGTCGGTACCAGACGTATCTGTCATCACAAACAACTCGAACACAGAACAAAAAATATGAGAAACAGCTGTTTCTAACACTGGACAACAGGTGCAGAGACAGAAATTCTTGGAGGAAGAGGCAAATAAGCCTTTGGCCGAGAGAACCTGGTGGCTTCACTGGGCTGCAGGGGACAGAGTTGGGAAACCAAGGAGGCCAAGGACTATGGACAGAGTCCTGGAGAGAAGGCAGCAGTGCAGGGGAGCCCCGAAAGAGTCCTGGAGAGAAGGCAGCAATGCAGTGGAACCCCCAAAATCCCCACAAGGGTCCACTTGAGCCTTTGGCTGAATACTGAACTGTGCATAAGCAGAGTAAGATCCCACGAAGCCAGGGACCAACAGTGACCAGGGAGCTCTGTAAGCAGAATGACACCAGAGTTCACACCAGGCCAGGCGACGCTGGAACACCAGCCACCGGGAGCTAGAGTTCACACCAGGCCAGGGGATGCTGGAATGACGACCACCGGGAGCCAGAATTCACACCAGGCAGGGGACGCTGGAACACCGGCCACCAGGAGCAAGAGTTCACACCAGGCAGGGGACGCTGGAACGCTGGCCACAGGGAACCAGAGTTCATACCAGGCAGAGAATGCTGGAACGCCAGCCACTGGGAGTCAGAGTTCACACCAGGCCAGGGAACGCTGGAATGCCGGCCACGGGGACCCAGAGTTCACACGAGGCAGGGGATGTTGGAATGCCAGCCACCGGGAGCCAGAGTTCACACGAGGCAGGGGTTGCTGGAACGCCGGCCACCGGGAGCCAGAGTTCACACCAGGCCAGGGGATGCTGGAACATCAGCCACCAGGAAGGAAGAACCCTCCCTGACTATCCGTCGTCGACCTCAGCTGCTTGGGAGTCTGAGGAGGGAGGATCGCTTGAGCCTGGGGAGGACAAGGCTCCAGTGAGCTATGATCAAGCCACTCTACTCCAGCCTGGGTGACAGATCAAGACTCTGTCTCAAAAAAAGAATGGCTGAAAAATTTCCAAGTGTGATAAAAACCCGTAGATCCGTAGATCCAAGAACCTCAAAGCAATGGAGAGTAAGTACAAAGAAGTCAGAGCAGCATACATACAAAGCAGACCACACCACAGTACCTCATAATGAAATGGCTGAAAACCAGGGACAGAGGGAAAAAATCTTGACCACCCAGAATATGCAGTAGATACCAAAGAAGGCCATGTCCTAGGTGAAGGGCTGAGGTAATCCTAGGGTGACAGCTCCTCTACGAATATGCAGTAGATACCAAAGGAAGGCCATGTCCGCGTGGGAAGGGCCTGAGGTAATCCTAGGGTGACAGACTCCTCTAACATGACCTAATGAAGGTTCAAAACAAGTCCCGAAAGGACCAGGCTGATCCACAAATATGTTAACTGCATCAGCATAACCCTCAACTTTTTTTTTTTTTTTTGAGACGGAGTCTCGCTCTGTTGGCCCAGGCTGGAGTGCAGGTGGCCGATCTCTGCTCACTGCAAGCCCACCTCCCAGGTTTACGCCATTCTCGCTGCGCTCAGCCTCCCAAGTAGCTGGGACTACAGGCGCCGCCCACCTCGCCCGGCTAGTCTTTTGTATTTTTTTAGTAGAGACGGGTTTCACCGTGTTCCCAGGATGGTCTCGAGCTCCGGACCTCGTGATCCGCCCGTCTCGGGCTCCCAAAGTGCGGGATTACAGGCTTGGCGCACCCGCACCGGCCAACCCTCAACATTCTTGAAAGAGAAGACCAATAAAATCCAGAAACTCGAACACTTTGACATTTACAACCTCCAGCACCCAATGCAAAATACTAGACATGTGAAGAAACAGAGGAACAGGAACCTGGTGACAGATAATTGGGAAAAAATCAGATCAATAGAAACAGACCAGAAATGACATGGATGACGAGGATTCACAGAGAAGGCATTTTAAAACAACCATCAAAAATACGCCGCAAGGATCAGCTGGACACGGTGCTGCATGCCGTTAATCCCAGCACTTTGGAAGGCGGAGATGGTAGTTGCTTGAGTCCAGGAGTTCAAGCCAGCTGTGCAACGTGGTGAAACCCCCATCTCTAACAAAAAACTACAAGAATTAGCCAGGCGAGATACTCAGGAGACTTGGGGTGGAGGATCAATTGAGCCTGGGATTTGGAGGCTGCAGTGAGCTGAACTGT